GCGGATCATGGCGGCCGGACCGGGAGGGCAGACTAGCGATTGTAATCAGATAATAAGGAAAGAGAAAAAACGGAAAAGCTGTGCAGTTACGGCAGCACAAAATACCCTTCCAAGTTTGTCCGTGTTCATCTCGCCCTCAAGCTAGTTCCTCTCTCTCTCGTTGATCGTTCGGCAACGACATTTGTTATCAGAGCCATGGTGTTCGATCCACTCTCCGGTGGCCGGCGGTGTCTGATCGGCAGCGTACCATGTCGGATAGCGAGGAGGAGAAGAAGAACAAGAGCGGCAGGAAGTCGCCGCTGAAGACGCCTTCATCCAAGGCGCCGCTCGCGCGCCTCACCGGTAGCGGCAGCGGCGAGTACCGCGTGGTGGAGCGCATGGTACGAGAGGAGTCAGTGGCGTCCATGATGCTCACGCGCACGAACTACCAGGAGTGGGCGCTTGTGATGCAAGTCAAGTTGCAGGTCGCTCGCGTCTGGTCCGTGGTGACCAACGACGCCGCCGACGAGAACGACGACTGGCGCGCGCTGCAGATCATTCTCACCGGCGTTCCGCCAGAGATGATGCGTGTGCTGGCCACGAAGGACACGGCGAAGACGGCATGGGAGACCATCAAGACGATGCGGATGGGCAGTGAGCGCGCCCGTGAAGCCAAGGTGCAAGTGCGCCGGCGGGAGTTCGAGGATCTCCGTTTCAGAGATGGGGAGTCCGTCGGGGACTTCGGGCTGCGGCTCACCGCCCTTGTCGCCGATCTGGAGCTGTACGGCGACCCCGTCACCGAGCACAAGGCAGTCCAGAAATTTCTCCGATTGGTGCCGCGTCCGTACCGCCCAATGGCCATGGCGATCTAGTCCTTGCTTGATCTGAAAACCATATCCATCGAGGAGCTTGTCGGCCGCTTCTCTGCAAGTGAGGATCACTACGACCTTGACGACGGCGCGCATACCGCCGGGCGCCTCCTGCTCACTCATGAGGAGTGGCTGGCCCGGGAGAAGCTGGGCGGCGGCGGCGGTTCATCGTCCGGTAGCGGCGGCGGCAAGAACAAGTCGCCGGGCAAGCCCAAACCTCACGGTGGCGGCGGTGGCAGACCTGCGCCGGGCAGCGGCGGCGTGGGAGGATCCGGCGGCTCAGGCGGCAAGAAGAAAGGCAAATGCCATTATTGCGGCAAGGTCGGACACTGGAAAAAGCACTGTTGGTCATGGCTTGAGAAGCAAAAGGAACAAGGGAAGAAGGAACAGGCTAACCTCGTCCGCGAAGATCGCGACGAACACGATCAGGGCCTGCTCATGGCCGTGGTCACCAATGTCTCTACACCTGAGCTAGTGGTGCCCCAAGCTGTGTTCTTGAATGAGGAGAAAGTAATTCCCGTGCCTTTACCCGATGGCCTTTGGTACTATGATACAGGGGCGTCCAACCATATGACTGGGGAGAGGAACATGTTTTCCACACTTGATGAAGGTGTACACGGCACAGTGAAATTCGGAGACGGCTCTCTGGTGGCTATCAAAGGCAGGGGCACTGTTGTGTTTCGCTGCCAGAATGGTGATAAACGTGCTCTCTCTGAAGTCTATTTCATTCCCAGCTTACGCAGCAATATCATCTCAGTAGGGCAGTTGGATGAGGGTGGATGCAGGATAGGGATTGAAGATGGGATCATGACCATCCAAGATCCGGGCCGGCGCATCCTGGCTCGCGTCAAACGGACGGCGAGCAGATTGTACACGGGCGTACTGAGCATTGACTCCCCGGCCTGTCTCCTCACCAAGACTGAAGATGTCACCTGGCGCTGGCATGCTAGGATGGGACACCTGCACTTTAGAGCTTTGCGAGCCATGTCTTCGAAGGAAATGGTACGTGGGATGCCGCTCATTGACCGTGTCGAGGAGTACTGTGATGGTTGTGCATTGGGCAAACAGCACCGTGCCCCTTTTCCTCAAGTGGCCGGATACAGAGCAGAGAAAGGCCTTGAGCTTGTTCATACAGACTTGTGTGGGCCAATCACACCAACCACACCGGGGGGCAGTAAGTATTTCTTGCTGATAGTTGACGATTACAGTCGATACATGTGGTTGGAGTTACTGAAATCCAAGGATGAAGCTCATCAAAAGTTCAAGAAAGTGCAGGCAATGGCTGAGAACGAGGGAAAATGCAGGCTTCGCGCATTCCGGTCTGACCGGGGCGGTGAGTTTAACTCCATTGAGTTCAGAGGATACTGCGAGCAGCTGGGCATCAAACACTACACGACCACCCCATACTCCCCTCAGCAAAACGGAGTGGTTGAACGCCGGAATCAGACCGTCGTCGAGATGGCGCGTTACTTGCTCAAAAGCATGGCCGTGCCGTCGTATTTCTGGGCTGAAGCAGTAAAGACTGCGGTGTACCTGCTCAACAGAGCCCCCACACGCAGCTTGGACGGGGTGACACCGTATGAGGCTTGGCACGGCCACAAGCCAAGTGTGCTGCACCTACGTGTGTTTGGGTGTGTGGCGCATGTCAAGAAGCTTGGCCCTGAAGTGACTAAGCTCTCAGATCGATCAACCCCAATGATCTTCATTGGCTACGAGGAAGGAACCAAAGGCTATCGTGTGTACAATCCGGCTACACAAAAGGTACAAGTCACACGTGATGCTTTATTTGAGGAGAGCAGGCCATGGACTTTTGGAATGCACAGGGTGCGGTCACGCCACCCGCGCCGACGACATTCACCGTGGTCTATGCAAATGACCATGGTGTGCACGAGCTGGACACGGGCTGCTCGCCTACACCTGCACCGAGGAGCGCAGCACCACCACCCTCTACACCACCATTGGGGTCGCCGCTGAACTCCGCCGACACGCCGGCCGCATCGGCGCCCGACATGTCGCGGACCGAGCCTTGCACGCCGGCTGCTGCGAGGGAGATGCGTTGGGCCACGCCGCCCACGCATGATGATGGGCGCGACGTTGACTCCGGACCTATACGGTACCGACGCCTCTCCGATGTTCTCGACGAGATAGAACATGAGGCTGTATGGGAGGAGCCCGACCAGTGCTTGCTCACGGCAGAGGAGCCGCGCGGCATCACTGAGGCGCTTAGCGACGGGGCCTGGAAGGCGGCAATGGATGCGGAGATGGACTCCATAGGCGAGAACAACACCTGGGAGCTCGCCCACTTGCCGGCCGGCCACAAAGCCATTGGCTTGAAGTGGGTGTACCGCGTCAAGCGCGATCCCGACGGCAACATCGTCAAGTACAAGGCCCGCTTGGTGGCGAAAGGCTATGTTCAGCGTGAAGTCGTGGACTTCGAGGAGGTTTTTGCGCCAGTGGCACGGATGGAGACCGTGCGGCTGCTTCTCGAGCTCGCCGCGCACTCCGGCTGGGAGGTGCACCATATGGATGTAAAATCCGTCTTTCTCAATGGTGACCTCACCGAGGAAGTGTACGTGGCGCAGCTGCCGGGGTACGTCACCGTCGGCAAGGAGCAACAGGTTCTACGGCTTCGGAAGGCGCTCTACGGGCTGCGGCAAGTTCCGAGGGCCTGGTACGCGAAGCTGGACGAGACCATGAGCACGCTGGGGTTCACGCGCAGCCCATTGGAGCATGCCGTGTATCGCCGCGGTGATGCACACTCATTTCTGCTAGTGGGAGTGTGTGTAGACGACCTCATCATCACCGGCACCAGGAAGACTTCCATCGGCGAGTTCAAGAATCAAATGCAAGAGCTGTTCAAAATGAGTGATCTCGGTCTCTTGAGCTACTATCTGGGCATCGAGGTAACTCAATCAAATGATTCTATAACCATGTGTCAGAGGAGCTATGCAGAGAAAATTCTTGAAGCTGCTGGAATGGAAGGGTGCCATGGATGTCAGACACCCATGGAGTGTCGGCTCAAACTGAGGAAGAATGACGTTGCAAAACTTGTCGACCCTTCTCTGTACCGCATCATAATTGGTAGCCTAAGGTACCTGGTGCACTCAAGACCGGACATCACTCATGCAGTTGGAATAGTGAGCAGATACATGGAAAGGCCTACAGTCACTCACTGGACAGCCGTGAAGCAGATACTTAGGTACGTGCGCAGTACTTTGAGCTATGGGTGCTGCTATGGGCGTGGTTCAGGGAAAAGTGAGCTGCTGTGCTATAGTGACAGTGACCACGCCGGCGACGTTGAGGATCGTAAGAGCACATCTGGTCAGATTTTCTTCCTTGGCAGTAATCCTGTTACATGGGCTTCCCAAAAGCAAAAGATTGTGGCAATCAACTCCTATGAGGCAGAGTACGTGGCTGCGGCGTCTGCTACTTGCCAGGGCCTATGACTGAATCGTCTGCTTGCTGAAATGAAGGGAGAAAAAGCTGGTGCGTTCAGGCTCTTGATTGACAATAAGTCTGCAATAGCGCTAGCGAAGAATCCCGTTCATCATGATCGAAGCAAACATATCGATGTCAAGTTCCATTTCATCCGAAACTGTGTTGAACATGGAGAGGTGCAGCTTGATCATGTGGGATCTGATGACCAGATGGCCGATGCATTGACAAAAGCACTTGGGCGTGTGAAGTTCATTGAGCTGCGTCAGAAGCTTGGTGTCAAGGAAATCAGCAAAGGACGTTGAGCTTAGAGGGGAGAATGTTAGCCTTTGTCATAAGCTCACGTCTACAGGCTAGATAGTTTTCCGTTTAAAATAATCGGTGCAGCTGGGTCGGATGTGACCCAGGCATGCACGTTGGTTGTGGAGGCGCATGTAGCGAGCCCTCCTTGTTTCCTTTCTGTTTTCTGTTACTCCCTCCTGGTCGCCCGGCTCTCGCTATGGACGTGATCGTGGGGCAGCGCGATCTACGCGGATCATGGCGGCCGGACCGGAAGGGCAGACTAGCGATTGTAATCAGATAATAAGGAAAGAGAAAAAACGGAAAAGCTGCGCAGTTACGGCAGCACAAAATACCCTTCCAAGTTTGTCCATGTTCATCTTGCCCTCAAGCTAGTTCCCCTCTCTCTCTCGTTCGATCGTTCGGCAACGACAGCAAGAAGGCAGGAGTGCATGAGTTGTTCGACCCAGAGAGGCGGATCCATGGCGTCGGGCAACGGCGACGACGGCGATGGGGGAGGAGGGTGGCAGCGGCGTGGAGCAGGTGGCGCCCTTCCTTCCGACCAGTGTGAACTGAGATAAAATGATTTTGTTTTTTTAGCAGTATTAAAATGAATTTGGTCTCGCTCAGTTGCTAGGGTTTCGCGTGGGCCTGGGCCCGAGCAGGAAGAGTCTGGTCTCGGCCTTCTCCCTGTTCATTTGTGATCATCAAGGGTGGGCTTTGGCGTGCTTTCAGTCGCCGCCATGTGTCACGTTCTAGGTGCTCTCTCTTATTTTTGTTTTTATTTTTTCACACTCGTTTTGGGCCTTTTAGGTAGTTTTGTTTTTAGTTTTTTTTTTCAGATTTTCGGTTTTGCCTTGGTCTTTCTTAGGTTTTTGACAATTTTCTTTTGCAAAACAAAATAAAATTTCCATGAGATGCACGAACAAAAAATAAATGTGTTTTTTCTTTTTCTTTTTTCTTTGTTCCAAGAGAGGCACGGATTTGCCTCTGCGAGTGGCATAGTCGTGCCTCTTGAAAATGGAAAGAAAACGCATTTTCCTTTTTTATCTTCCGTGAGAGACATGGATTTACTCGTGCCTCTTGAAAACAAAAAAAACACGTTTTCTTTTTTCCCCTTCCGCGAGAAGCACGGATTTTCTTATGCGAGAGGCTAAGTCATGCCTATCGGAAACGAAAAAAAATATGTTTTCTTTTATTTTCTTCCGTGAGAGGCACACATGTTTGCTTCTGCGAGAGGGGCAGTCGTGCCTCTTTCCGAAAGGAAAATATTTGTGCTCCCCGTTCGGTCTTTTTGTCCGATTTTTTCATGAAAAAAGGTTCGTTAAAACCTATCAATATGGAAACTAGTTTTAAAGATCTCGACGCAAGGAATCTCCAACAGTGAAAACGATTAAAGATTTGGACACAGGGTTTAAGAGATAAAAGGAGTGCATGCTTTTGTGTTGCTATGTATTTACTCTTGTACTGCAATTTGGTAAACAAACAAAAGTGAGTGTTTGAGGTCAATATTAGTAACCGACCCATGGGAGAAAAGAGACCTGATAGTTGATTTTCCGTGTATCATGCATATCGTGCGTTTCGAGCCCTTGGGTTTTATCACAACTACTCTGCTAGCTTCTTTATGTCTATGCTGGAAACCTGCCTTATGTGTCAAGGGTTGGAGATGGTGCCGATTAAGGTTGTGCTACAACTTCAAAACAAACTTGTGGTATGTAGTAGGGTGCTTTTGGTTGCAATATGGTCATCTATATTTGACCTGGAGTTTATCTTGTCTGACAATGGTGGCGTATCTGCTGCATAAGTTGGCGACAGCATCGTTGATGTTTAGTTTCTGTGTAATGTGCAATTAGTATATTAATTAAGGCTCTGTATTTGGTCAAAGTGGTTGTGATCTTGCTGTGTGCCTGCTAAATGTACGTTTCGTTAAAAAACCGGATATTTGGAAGTAATGACAAAATCAAAGACCTTTCATTAAGGATCCTGTATCTGAAACTTGTCAATTTGCTCTGATCTGCTAATTGTACTGCATCAAATTACTATTTTACTTGAATGTCATTCCATTGTTTATTTATAAATATGAGCCATGTTCGATGACAGTGGTAGCACGTGTTTGGCATGTTCATCTATCTCGGTCCTTCAAGGCACATGCCAAATGCAAGCAATCAGTTTTTGCAGGATGGCAGACCACACACATAGTTTGTTGAGTCCGTCAAGTTTATTTCCTTCAACGACCTGAGTTATAAATTTGTCAACCTACCAGGCAATTAATGAAGTCCTGCAACATGAAGGTGCAATTTCTTTTATGGCTCTTAAGTACTCCATTATTCATCTCCTTATCTTCTCCACCTGCCATTGTTTGGCTATGTATTCGAACCTTTACTGGAATTCACAATCAGAAACACATACAAAGCAAGTACTTGCTGCTATTTATTTTTCTATTTGACGTTTTATTGAGGTCAATATTGTATTAATAGGGCAGTACGGAAGAAGAGTTTCTGGAGGTTGATTCTCCATGTATTGTATGTGCTTTGATTCTAGCCCTAGTATGGTCAAAATACTGTCCAAATGGGGCCAAATGATGTCTTCAAAATTAGACTGAAAAATCAAAACCCAGAAAAAAAAGGAAAACAAATCCATAAAATCAATAATATGTATATATGTGTGTTGAAGCTGGGAGAATTTCAGCTGATTTGTATTAGCAGATTGGGAGAAAACAATTTTCAGGTGCAAAGTTTGACATAAATTTTGAAGTTCCCAGAAAATTTTGAAAACATTCCAGAAATCGAAGAGTAGATGTATAACTAGTCTGGGAGAGTTTCAGCTCACTTGGATTCATGCTTCTGTACTTTCAGCTTCAAATTTTGAGAGATTCATGCTTCTGAACTTTCAGCTTGAAATTTTGACTGAATTTGGTTACAAACTTTAAAAGTGACTAGCAAACATGCCCGTGCGTTGCAACGGGAGAATTTTTTTCACAAAACCAACGAGCATGGCTGAAGAGCCCCTCCCCAAACACATGCATTCCACATCCTCTATTTTAACATGATGCCCACTTGCCGCTTATTCTTCTTCCGGCCCTCACCGGTGATGAGCGCATTATCTGTCTACTCACAATGAATCCAAATGTGGTCAATCCCAGGGTAATGAGTGTAATTTGACGCAAGGTGCCTAATGAACATCGACGCCCTCCTGGGCACGACTTCCATCAGAACGGATGCTTTGCGCACAACCAAGGCAACGCCATCCAAAAAGGTCAAGTAAATAAAATATGAATCTTATTGATCACGGTAGACAGAGAAAACTTCATTTGCTCTGACTTCAAGATTCCTCGTCTCTTCTGAGGGAACTTCCCCATCTTCTAAAGGAGGCTCATATATGTTTGACCAAGTTGATCTGAAAGGCAGCTCAATATCAACAAATGAGAATCAAATTTGAATTAAGAACGGGTATCACATCCACTAATTCAACTTTTTGCACTAATTTTCTCGATGCATTTACTTATTGGAACATTTAGTTTGTTTGGCAAGGCTAACGCTTATAATTTACAGTCATGGCCAGTGGAACTGAACGAAGTTTCATTGGAATATACTGTAGCGATATATCAAAGTAAGCAAGATTATATCAGGCAGTGCAACAAAAGAAGATAATTGTAGCAAATATACTGTAGTCATATACTTCCTCCGGTCTTTTTTAGTCCTCATATAAGTTTTGTCCGAAGTCAAAGTATATATTGAGAAATATCAACATCTAGAATACCAAATATATATACCGTGAAACTAAATTTTATAATAAATCTAACAATATTGATTTGGCACGCGACTTACATAGGAATGGGCGCTTTGCGCACAACCGACCCAATGCCATCCGGCATGCGCGGCACTGTTTGTTTGCTGACTATTATATGAAAATCGTAAACTTCAAGGCCCATCTTATCTATAGTTTAACAAATCTGTCTAGCAGTTCTCAAAATTTCTACAAAACGTAACCTGTAAGGACATACTTTTGTCAAATTTACAGGCTGGTGAAATTGGTACTGTTTCTGCATTTTGTAATAAGATTAACCATTTTTTGCCGAACTAAGACGAACTACTATAAAAATGGTATCTTTTTGGCCTAGATCTGTATGGTTATTTAGTGGAGAGCATTGAACATAATAAATTCACAAGTTCCAAGCGTCAGCGACATGAAACTGAAACTGCTTGTGCAACAGTCTTTTGTCTGCCCAGTCTGCCAAGCCCTTCTCTGATAGGGTTGACATAAAGTGATCGCACGTGAGCCGAGAAGCGAGGTTATCGAGGATGGTGTGGAGGGGTGGGCCAAAGTCGGGGCGGCACTGGTTAACACCAAACTTTATCATATCTAATGTTGTAGGAAGCTCCCTACCTGATCATGTTCTTCTGACTGAAGTTTGGTGTTGCCCTGAATCTAAGAGCAACGGTGCACTTGCTTCGCCGGCCCCGCTGTAATCAAATTGTCAACATCCATAGACTATAGTCATAAATATTTTCGCTCTCTCAAGAGGAATAGAATTTTGGGGCCAAATAATTTCAGATTAGCAGAGAAAAACATAATAGACGAATGTGTTGTCGTGAATCCTAATCCTCCTTGTTGTTTTGAAGCTCCTGCACCACAAATTCTAATGCCGCTGCATTTGCAGACCAAAATACTAATCTGAAATATCCTACTCTGGCACCATCCGCAGCAGCTTGCTGTACCTACAACTGCCCGCTTCATCTGTGCATGGAACGCTACACACAAGAACACGGACGCACATTGTGCCGTCGCATATCAACGCACCCACGTCACGCACGCACAGCTATCGACGGGAGCACAACACGAAGGTCACAGAAGCCACACCGGCGCTCCGAGCCAGCAGGTCGTCGTGAGCATGCGCCATAATAACCTGCGTATATCGGGCGCAGGCCAATGAAACCCACGGACGCATGCACACGCCTGAGCCTGAGCGCCAGCTAGCTTCACCGGAGCAGCGCCCGGCGCCTCAGCCACCGGAGCAGCCAGGAACATGCAGCTAGCGAAGTAAAAAGGCGTGAGCCGTGAGGAAATCTCTGTAGATAGCCGCGACACCGTCCTGATCAAGCTATTGTACACTTCCATGGTGGCAAGATCCATCTCATAGTGCTCTCTCAGGGAGAGATTAGGGGGGGATGCCTCGTTCCTGCAGTCTAGCCACGTCGAGACGCTCCAGCGGTAGCCGAGGAGGGAGGCAAGGTGCACGGTCTGCATCACGGGCAAGTGACCGCCGTCCTCGGCCTTTGTTCATGTTTGAGGCATTCACGTAGGCTACACCGACAAGCTATGCGATGCCAGGACCAAGAGCGTGACTAACAGCTCCGCCGCTCGGTGCACTATTGCCTCTGGCAGCTTCCGAAGGCCGACCGGGTCTCTTCCGTTCGTGGCAGGACATCAGGCTCGGCGGTGTCTCGTCGCCCAGCGCCGCCGTCCACCATAGCGACCCAGTGC